ACATAAAAAACAAGGAGGGGAGATAACGACGATAGATGTTTGATAGGAAAGCAGAAGCAAACCACACCAGAGCACCCGCCAACCACCCAAAATATAAGCAATAAAGGATTGCATTTACATAGATTTAAAGAAAGAATGAAAGATTGCATTTCATAGATCTATATAGGCAATAAAGGATTGCATTTACATAGATATAAAGAAGAAAAAAAATTGCATTTACATAGATTTAAAGAAAGAATAAACATTTCCATAACAGAGATCTATATAAACAGTAAAAGATTGCATTTACATGACAGATTTAAACTGTCAAGAAAAGATTGCAATTATATAGATAATAATTATAATTGATCACATTTAAACATGCAATAAAAGACTGCATTTATTCGGATAATAATTACAATAGATCGTATTTACATAGATTTATAAAGACAATAAAAGGTTGCATTTATATAAATAATAATAGATTGCACTGATATATTCACATCCTTTTTCAAAATTAGGCTTTGTATACTTTTTCATTATCTTTACAGTCTCCGACTAACCATTTCCTTTTCCAACCAAAAAGTTCTTTCTCCGTATTTTAAAAAAACTTTTAGTACGAGATTTACGGCACTTGCTTCCCAATTAGGTCATATAAGTGCCAATGATTAGAGGCATTACTAGAAACTAAGATGCAGAGAAAAGAAATATTCTTTCACAGAGAAGAGGAAGCTTCCTTCACAGGGAAAAGAAGTGGTGGTGGAAAGTAGAAGAGTAAGGGTGAGGGCAGAAGGGTAGACAGTAGAGCTGTGCCATTTTGAGGAAAGAAAACTTTCACTGACACCTCAAAGCACGAGGTCTCACTATTCATGCTAATCGAATTTCAAGGCGAAAGTTGTTGTTTTTTCTGATATAATATATGAAAAGTCCATCCTTAACTTCTGCTATTCAATATTCATTAACTGTTCACACAGTACTCACTGAAAGTACAGTGTGTTAGTTCACGCACAGTGCAATACGATGGCATCACATCACCATTCATAACTCTTCGGATTTTGAATAGGGGAAGGTATGCTCATCGAGACAGCCTTTCCTGTTAATTTCTTGGGAAAACGTTCGCTGGACTTCGAGAGTCAAGGGCCCATGACCTTTTTATGGTGTGCCTAGTGAATATTGAACAGTAGTAAATACTTTTAAGAGGCGTGTTTTTTAACTCTCATCGGCTCCACTTGTCACTGTCTCGTAATCATCAAGTGCAAAAAATTTCTGAAAAAAGCCTAAATGATCCAAGATACTAATATGCTCTAATTTTACAACGGATTAACTCTTTTTATCCTAGCCGTACCCCCACGG